TCACCTCCACTGTATATTCATCAGTAATATGCTTTAAGTCAAACTTGAGTGACCTAGTGCTTTTCCCTATTTTCTTCAATTTTAGCCTGAATTTTGCAACAAGAAGCTCATGATCTGAGCCACAGTCAGCTCCAGGTCTCATTTTTACTGACTGTATAGAGCTTCTCTATCTTTGACTGCAGAGCACATAGTCAGTCTGATTTCTGTGTTGACCATCTGGTGATGTCCATGTGTAGAGTTGTCTCCCAGGTTGTTGAAAAAAGTGTTTGGTATGACCAGCATGTTTTCTTGACAAAGTTCTGCCAGCCTTTGCCCTGCTTCATTTTGTACTCCAAGGCCAAACTTGCCTGTTATTCCGGCTTCCTACTTTTGCATTCCAATTCCCCATGATGATAAACACATCATTTTTTGGTGTTATTTCTAGAAGGTGTTGTAGGTCTTTACAGAACTGGTTAACATCAGCCTCTTCAGCATCAGTAGTTGGGGCATAGACTTGGACAACTGTGATGATGAATGGTTTTCCTTGGATTCGAACTGAGATCATTCTATCATTTTGGAGATTGTATCCCAGTAGTGCTTTTCCTACTCTTTTATTGTGTATGATGGTTACTCCATTTCATCTGAGGGATTCTTGCCTGCAGTAGTCTACATGATGGTCATCTGAATTAAATTCACCCATTCCTGTCCATTTTAGTTCATTGATTCCCAAGATGTCGATGTTCAGTCTTGTCATCTCATGTTTGACCACGTCCAGCTTGCCTTGATTCATGGATCTTACATTCCAGGTTCCTATGGAGTATAGATTTTTACAGCATCGGACTTTCCTTTCACCACCAGATACATCTGCAACTGAGTGTCCTTTCGGCTTTGACCCAGTCACTTCATTCTTTCTGGTGCTACTAGTACTAGCCCTCTGCTCTTCCCCAGTAGCACATTGGATGCCTTCCGACCTGAGCTCATCTTCCGGCGTCATATCTTTTTGGCTTTTGGTACTGTCCATGGGTTTTCATGGCAAAGATACTGGAGTGGGTTGCCATTTCCTTCTCCAGTGGATCACCTTTTGTCAGAGCTCTCTGCTATGACCTGTCCGTCTTGGGTGCCCCTGCACTGCATAGCTCATAGCTTCATTGAGCTGCACAAGCCGTTTTGCCACGACGGGGCAGTGAACCATGAAGTAGGGGAACTTAATTTCGTTGTTGCTGTTGCTGAACAGTTCTTGTCAATATGCTGCCAATTATTTGCCAATACTGCCAAAATCTTCCAGGAGATTCAAATCTATCTTTTATCCAATCGTGTTCTAGAGAACTTGAAAGCTTGCATAATTTTGTGGTCTTAATAAGGGCATTGCTTCATTGTGGATGTAGTGTATGGATGCACATTTTAAAACAGATCTAATAGCATCAAAGCTCCATCTACCCTGCCACTTAGAAATTAGCATACCAGATTGGTATCTGTTGTTTCTCAATAGGTATACTGGGTGTCCAAAAGTATTTCTACCTTTCCTTGATTCCTATCTTTTTGTAATGACCCATCAACCATGCTATAATTAACATTTGGCTTTGCAGAGAGGTAATCTGCCCAGCTTCTAGTTCAGTCCTACTCTGCTCTTCAGGTAGAATTCAACAGAGTCATGTACCATCAAACAATGTAGTATTCCTAAAATTCATGAAAAACACTAACTTCTGAGGAACTTCATGGCATACCATAAGGCCTACCCAAGGGTGCAAAGGCACCTTACCCAAGCCTTCAGCACCTCTGAAAAGAGAGGCACATTATTTTTGCTTCAAGCAAATAAAATGGTGACCATATATTTTGCACCATATCTCAGGTTCTGCCAGAGCAAAACATTTACTTCAAAAATGAAGGCATAATCTGGGGATTATGGATCATCTGTGGAGGGAATCTACTGACCCTCTTGCACTCCCTTCCCCCCACCACAGATACTCACATTTATAAAATTAGGTTAGAGGGCTGATGTCTCTGGGAGTCCCAAGGTCTTGTGGCATGTGCAAGACACAAAGGTGTTCATAAGCATGTCATAATTTCCAGCTAAACACTGTAGTGCAAATAATATGACTGGACAATAGTAAAGTAGTATTTATGCCATTGTTGAGCTGCTTATCTACTTTATGTCAATAAACATGTCCATGTGGTCTCTATGTCCATAGAGACCACATCTTCTGAGGATAATTCGAGGGCTCTCATGTGCTCTCTCCTTCTGCCATAACATCACTTAATGTACTGCAGATAATTTCATACAGTTCAGTTGTCATCTCCCTTTTAAAAAGTCATTCTGTCATGGTCTAGGGCAGGGGTCCTCAAACTTTTTGAACAGGGGGCCAGTTGAAAGGTGCCGTTGATGGGTGCAGGCTGCCAAGGCAGGGGCAGGGCAGGGCGGGGCGGGGGCATGCGCCAGCGGCGAGGCAGGGGCAGGAGTGAGCAGAGATTGTTTTCCCTGAGTGAATCCAAGATGATCTCCTTGCGAGCAAGCCGGTGCCTCACAAGATAAAATGAGCGAGTCTAAAACAATCTCCACACAAGCAAGCTGCTGCCTTGCCATGCATGGCGAGTCAAAAACCTCTATGGTGGGCCGGATAAATGGGCATGGCAGGCTGGATTCGGCCCGCAGGCTGTAATTTGAGGACCCATGGTCTAGGACATGGGCAACAGGAAGCAATCTTAAAAAAAAAAAAAAAAAAGTGGTTGCTAGCAAGAGCAGCCCCCATGGAAGAAGAAATTGACAAGGACACTGACAAGAGTAAAAGCCCTGTGTGTTGTGACTTTAGTTCAGTCATAGAGGCTCAGCCAAACTTTCCTCATAGAGCTGTTGCCATGAGGATAAAAATAAAATGGGGGGCTTTGCATCATTGGAACCTGTCCTGCACTCCTCTGCAGGTCTTTATCAACCTCCATGTGGCACCCCCTCATGTACCTATATGTCGCCACAGATCCCCTGGAGTCTCCTTTTCTCCAGGCTGAAAAGACCCAGCTCCCTCAGTCTCGCCTCATAAGGCTTTTCCTATAATCTGACCACTATCCTTGTGGCCCTACGCTGCACTGATTCCAAACTGGCCATATCCTCCTTGTAATGTGGAGCCCAGAACTGAACACAATACTCCAGTTGTGGGCGCACCGGAGTCGTATAAAGTGGCAGGAATACATCTCTCAAACTAGAAGCCATGCTTCTGACTATGCAACCAAGGGTGGTGGTTGCCCTTTTCACACTGCTGATCCATGTTTAGCTTGCAGTCAGCCAGTACTCCAAAATCCCTTTCACAAGTGCTGCTCTCCAGCCACTTGTCCCCTAACTTGTACTTACGACACCCATTCCTATGCCCCAAGTGCAAGACCTTGCCCCAAGACCTTGCACTTGGGGCATAGGAATGCCATCCTGTTGTCTCCTGCCCACTTCCATAGTCTGTCCAGATCCCTTTGGATCAGGAGTACCTGCTCTTCAGTTGTGGCCACTGCCCCAGTTTTAGTATCATTTGCGAATTTGATCAGCAGACTGTTCACCCCTTCTTCCATGTCATTGATGAAAAGATTGACAGGATCAGTCCCAGGATAGAGCTGTGGGGGACCCCACTCATTTCTGGCCGCCATCCCGATGATTCCCCACTAATGGTTACCCTCTGCTTTTGGTCCATCAACCATGCCCTAATCAATACAACAGTGCATCAATCTATCCCAAAACTCCTCAGTTTCTCAGTCAGGATATCATGCGGCACTTTGTCAAAGGCCTTGCTGAAATCCAGATAAACCACATCCACTGTGTCCCCTCCATCTAGCCACCTTGAATCCTAGTCATAGAATTCCACAAGGTTCATCTGCCAGGACCTGTTTTTGCAGAAGCCATGTTGCGTGGGCACCAACCTCCCTTTCCTATCTAGGGTTACTACTCATAGATGCCTCGCTATTATGAGCCTTTCCATTGTCTTTCAGTCACCATGTCCCCATCTTCCTTATTAAGCGATCCCACCACCTGTCTCCCCTTCCTCTTGCTGTTTACATGTTGATAGAAGCCCTTTTTGTTGCTCTTGATATTCTTTGCAAGTCTCAGCTCAGAATTAGCATTAGCCTTGCGAAGAATTCTTCTGCAACAGGCTTCCTCCTTTCAGCGTACCCTTTCCTCTACTTGCCCCAGTGCCCATTTCCTACAGAAGTTCCTCTTATGTTTAATACCTCTTACTTCCTCTTTTTGCTTCCATGGCAGTGCTTTCCTTGGTCTCTCAACCTTGCTAACTAGCAGTATTGTCAAGGCTTGCACCTCCAGGACCTCCCTTTGAGGGGCATGTCTGTTTTGTTCTGTTTGGTTTTTGACTTTGACTTTGCTGTACGTGTTAAATAATGTATTTTTACTTTAGCTAAGTGAATCTGAATTCATATCTGGGGATATTCTAACCCAGACTACCTCAACCTCATACCTTGAAGATGTGTTGAAGTACAATTGCCAGCATGTCCTAGCCTGCATCGAGGATTGTAGTTGAACACATCTGGGAGTTGTAGTTGAACACCTGTGGAAGGCACCAAGTTGGAATAGGCTGTCTTTGCCTTATCTCATTTCATATTTATGCCTTTGTCTCATCAGCCAAGTTACTAAAATAATGTATGTGTGTTAACTTTTCAAGGAGAAAAGGTGGACCATTAGAGGTTGGAAACTAGCAGAGTTTTACTAGTTAATAAGGCTGATTCTAAATGTTCTAGTCCTGTTAATAAGAATTCCTTTTGTCCTCTATTATAGAAACAGAAACAGAGCAAGTCAGAAGGAGCTTTCTGGCCCATCTAGTATGAACCCTGGCTCCACTCATGACATGCCTACCATGTGCATGTCCAAACCAGTACCTATTATGTGATAGTAGGTACTGGTTATGCGTTTAAATGTGTATTTAGTCTCAGCAGCAAAGTAAGAGTAACTAAACATCTATATGATTCAGTTTAACAGATGATCTGTAAGGTGCTTTCAGCTCCCTCTCCTTTTTTTTTTTTTTAACTTTACCTAGGAGCACAATTGAAAACTATGCATAATCTGAGATTGCTGAGAGCAGATATGCTGGACTTCTGCAAGCACAAGCGTAATCATCGCAGTGGCGTCAAACTCCACAGGCTTCAAACTGCGCTGTCACTTTATTCAACGTCTCTTTGTGGCCTGGTTTTGTTAGTAGATAATCGCATCAGTTCATACAGTGGAATCAAAAGAGGTGAGTCCTTGTTGAAAAGGGTTTCTTCTTATCCAGTTGAGATTTAAAGCATTTACACAAGGAAAATAATGACTTGACAATAGTCTGTCAGCCCATCTATAGTAGTAGCAAATTAACCAACAAAAAGGCCTACATTCTCTTATAAATCTGTTTTTCTTAATACATTCAATAGTCTTTGCTGGATATAGATGACTGCTTGGGTCTCTACTCTTTACAAAGATATTAATGTAATGGTCATCTGCAGAACCACCTTACCATAAGTGTGAGTTCAGTCCACATGTGGGTTAACTGATGAGTTTATAAAGGCCCTACTACATGCAAGATCTTTCCCACTGACTCCTTGTCAGGGATAGATGTGACAAGGAACTGTTGAAGTTATTGAGGTAGTTGATTACTGTGCACCAGGGTGTATATAAGATGCTAAATCTGAGCCTTGATGTTTTATGTCACTTGAAAAAGGAACTTTCTGTCGTATTAGTATTCTGCTGGATTTGTTTCAATTGAGAAGCAGTATACAAATATTGTTAGCATGCAATTCTGTGGGGGTGCTCATAACCAAGACTTACAGTACAGGAGGAGCATGGAAGTAAAGGATACATCGTATCTCAGTGATGTCAAATCTCCTCTTGTTCCCTTGAAATGACCCAACTCCCTTCTCCAAGGTTGATGTTGTGACTTTATGTATTGACTGCAACAGAGATAAGAGAACAGTGAAGAGTTCCAGTTCTCATGTTGTAAAAAAGCTCTGAGATTCCAAAAAATTCCATGGCCTGTTAGATGCTGCCTGGGAGCCATAGGACTGTGCTGGTAAAAAACTATAATTTCAAATACCATTTTTAGTGACCATTGTTATAGAAGAGCTGAGAGGAATCAGAATAGTAAAAGATTCATAATGGTAACATATATTGCATTTTGTAAAAATCAGAGACAAACACCTGTATGTAATGGCTTAGGCATGACAGACATAATAAGAGGTAATATTGGTAAGGTCTTTATGATGGTTGTATCCATATATTTACATACATTCTTGAACTACTACTCAAACCAACATGAATACCTGCTGAATACCTAACATTTCTACAATTAATATTTGGTGCTTACACACTCAAGATTTAAAAAGAGTCAATGTTAAACTCTTCAGTAGGAGTCTGCAGTGCAAACAAATGTATTTTCTCACTTTCACTTTCAACTCTCAACATTTTTGGTCTCGTTCTTATTGAAGTGGTCACAAAACTAGCATGAAGGGAAGAAAGTTAGATTAGATCTTTCAACCTGGTACTTGATTTTCTATTTCAAGGGAATATTTAGGTGTGGAGGAGCCATAATGTGACTCTTTGCCTTAGCCTGTACTGAAATAAGTATATTAGCTCCAACTTTGTTTCAGATTTTGCAACTGTTTGTCAGGAGTGCACAGACTTCCACTTTCCAGGGATTCAAGAGCAGCTTGAAGTTATTCAACAGATTGTACTTTATGCCCGAACACAGCACTGCAGTAAGTCCAAGCGGCTAAATGGTCAGTACCAGTTAGAATGCTCTCCTTGAAATATAAGCTGGATAAGTGTGTGTGAGAGTGACGGAGCTTCAGTTTTTTGTTGCTAGTAAAATGCATAAAATGTACTCTTTGGAATACACAGTCAATAAGTGTTTTAAAATTGTTATATAAGATATTCTGCAAACTGTGTGTTGCATTGCTGCAGTTTCCATCTATTTCAGGGTGGTGTTTCTGAACCTTAAAACACATACTCTGGATGAGTCCTGTAGGTGAGTGTAGTTATGTTTGAAAAGTAAACATTTTGCTAGGTTTGTCACTTAGGGAATAGACTTGCTACAAATGTATAATTTTATGTTTTTAGGATAGGGTAGAAGTAATAATTTTGAAGTCATTATATTTATGGATTGGCTACCAAAGTGACTTCACTTGAACTCCAACAATACAAATGAGACCTAATAAAACCTTAGTAATGTCACAAAGCTGATAGAAGGCCACCTGCCCTTCAAATGAAAAGATGGCTCAAGGAGAACCCCCAAGTTATGAACTCATGGCTTCAAAAGAGTGCAGCTCTCAAAATACATTGACTACTCTCCATCCAGTCAGAGGAACCACACACCATTTCAGTCTTGTCTAGGTTGAGTTTCATTTGTTCTTCATGGTCTCTCTGCATCACACATACAATATATAACAGAAGTGAGTACACCCCTCACATTTTGTAAATATTTTATTATATCTTTTCCTGTGACAACCCTGAAGAAATGACACTTTGCTACAATGTAAAGTAGTGAGTATACAGCTTGTATAACAGTGTAAATTTGCTGTCCCCTCAAAATAACTCAACACACAGCCATCAATGTCAAAACCACTGGCAACAAAAGTGAGTACACCCCTAACTGAAACTGTCCAAATTGGGCCCAAAGTGGCAATATTTTGTGTGGCCACCATTATTTTCCAGCACTGCCTTAACCCTCTTGGGCATGGAGTTCACCAGAGCTTCACAGGTTGCCACTGGAGTCCTCTTCCACGCCTCCATGATGACATCACAGAGCTGGTGGATGTTAGAGACCTTGCGCTCCTCCACCTTCGATTTCAGGATGCCCCACAGATGCTCAATAGGGTTTAGGTCTGGAGACATGCTTGGCCAGTCCATCACCCTTACCCTTAGCTTCTTTAGCAAGGCAGTGGTCGTCTTGGAGGTGTGTTTGGGGTCGTTATCATGTTGGAATACTGTCCTATGGCCGAGTCTCTGAAGGGAGGGGATCATCTTCTGCTTCAGTATGTCACAGTACATGTTGGCATTCATGGTTCCCTCAATGAACTGTAGCTCCCCAGTGCCGGCAGCACTTATGTAGCCCCAGACCATGACACTCCCCCCACCATGCTTGACTGTAGGCAAGACACACTTGTCTTTGTACTCCTCACCTGTTTGTCGCCACACACACTTGACACCATCTGAACCAAATAAGTTTATCTTGGTCTCATCAGACCACAGGACATGGTTTCAGTAATCCATGTCGTTAGTCTGCTTGTCTTCAGCAAACTGTTTGCAGGCTTTCTTGTGCATCATCTTTAGAAGAGGCTTTCTTCTGGGATGACAGCCCTGCAGACCAATTTGATGCAGTGTGCGGCGTATGGTCTGAGCACTGACAGGCTGACCCACCACCCATTCAGCCTCTGCAGCGATGCTGGCAGCACTCATACGTCTATTTCCCAAAGCCAACCTCTGGCTATGACGCTGAGCACATGCACTCAACTTCTTTGGTCAACCATGGCGAGGCCTGTTCTGAGTGGAACCTGTCCTGTTAAACTGCTGTATGGTCTTGGCCACTGTGCTGCAGCTCAGTTTCAGGGTCTTGGCAATCTTCTTATAGCCTAGGCCTTCTTTATGTAGAGCAACAATTCTTTTTTTCAGATCCTCAGAGAGTTCTTTGCCATGAGGTGCCAGTGACCAGAATGAGAGAGTGAGAGCGATAACACCAAATTTAACACACCTGTTCCCCATTCACACCTGAGACCTTGTAACACTAACAAGTCACATGACACCGGGGAGGGGAAATGGCTAATAATGCCCAATTTGGACAGTTTCACTTAGGGGTGTACTCACTTTTGTTGCCAGCAGTTTTGACATTGATGGCTGTGTGTTGAGTTATTTTGAGGGGACAGCAAATTTACACCGCTATACAAGCTGTATACTCACTACTTTACATTGTAGAAAAGTGTCATTTCTTCAGGATTGTCACATGAAAAGATATAAAATATTTACAAAATGTGAGGGGTGTACTCACTTCTGTGATATACTGTACGTCAGGGGTCTTTCCTTGCCATGTTTCCAGCCCTGTTAACCTTTACAAGGTGCCTGCACCTCTGTTTGTCTTCCTTGTTCTTGACCTTTGGCTTGTTCCTGACCATGTACTTCTTGCTCATGCAGCGTCTGGTCCCTGACCTCAGCCTATACCATCACTGATTTGGACTTTCCATTAAACCTGAGTTTAGGAAAAAGCTCTGTTGCCCTGGTCCTGGTGCCTCTTGTTGCTCTTATCTTGTCTCTGGCCACCCTCTTCCTGGCCCCAGAACCTGACATCTCCCAGACATCCCACTCCAAACTGAGACAGCTACTCCAAAATAATACCATGGTCTATGATATCAAAGATCTCCAAGATGTTCAAGGGTATCACCAGGGTCACACTCCCCTGTCTCTCTGCTGGTGCAAATCATCATAAAGGGAAACCAAAATATTTCTTTGCCAAACCTGGCTTGAAGTGGATCCAAGTAATCAGTCTTATCCAACAGCACCTCAAGCTGGTTGGCTACCATCTGCTCAAAAACCTTCCCCAGAAAAGGAATATGTACTACTGACTTAATACATGCTGAACTGGGAAAAGACTCTGGCCAGGACAGTCTGCACCCCAGGACTGAGATTGGTGAGAAGACTTGGGGACTGGTTGGAAAGAGGACTGCTGCGTGTTGTGTTATTATCTGCTGGTATTGTTACTGCCTCCCCACCCACCCACCACAGTCGGCCAGCTCTCTTCCCAGCCCCAGCACAGTCCAGCAAGCAGAGTGCCTGCACCTGGTCTGATAATTCCAGCAGCCACCATCTCAGCTTAAAAGCAGACCTGCTGCTGGGTGGTAGGCTGCCACCTGAGGACTTCCCCTGAAGCTGTAGACCCCTTTGGGATGCCAGTTCAGGATACCAAGAAGGTGAGGACAAGAAGCTGCTTGTCCCTCACTGCACCACTGCCTTTGTGGCCTGGGACCCTGATTAAAAGGGTGTCTATGGGGCCAATGTGGAGATGGTGGTGGTCCGAATTAGCATAATAATGGGTAGAGGCAGATGTGGTGGGAGGAAGACTGGCCAGGTAAGAGGAATACAGCCCAGACAGCTATTGGCTGTGTCATGCTCCATTTCTCCCATGGGTTTGATGGTTGCTATGCCAGCCAGCCCTCAGGTCTTTGGATGCTGCTTCTAAGTATCAGATTGGTGAAGAATAAAACCTCCCTCATGCATGATTTAATGACTGAGGCAGCTAAATGTATAACTGATACCTGGGTTGGTAAACAGGGAGAAATTAATCTCTCACAGTGGTGCCCACTAGGGCACTTGGTTCAGCATCAGTGGGTGCGGGAGGGGGCTGCCATGGTCTATAAAAATTCAATCTCTCTTTCTGGGCACTATTTCATCTGACATATGCTGTAAACACTCCAGTGTGGGCCAGTGGGACCCACTGCAAATCTACCTCCTACCATGCACGCTATCAGACTCCCTACCAGAGCTGATGGAGGTGGTCTTGGATGTGATATTAGAGTCCCCCCAGGCTGCTGGTCCTAGGGGATTTCAACGTTCATGCTGAGGGCACCCTATCTGGGACAACTGAGGACTGCATGTTTGGCCTGACAACCATGGGACTGGCTCATGTCATTGGCCCAATACATGTGGCAGGATATACTCTAGACTTCATCTTCAAGGGGGTTGGACTCGATGGCCTTCACGGCTCCTTCCAACTCTTCTATGATTCTATTCTATGATTTTCGGCCAGCTATGAGGATGTTGCCCTGAGTGTGGGGGACTTTTACTCATTTCCTTTGTCATGGTCAGATCACCATCTGCTGAGATTTGGACTGATGGCACCTTTTCTCCTCTGCAAGCATGGGGGGCGTATTAAGATGGTCCACTTCCAGAGGCTAATGGATCTGGATGATATCTAGAGTACTTTGGGGGATTTTCCAGCTGAAATGTGTGGCACTCCTGCTGAAGCCCTGGTTGCACAGTACAATGTAGAAATTACCTAGGTGGGTTGACATAATTGCCCCTAAGTGCCCTCTGTTATGGAGTTCAAACAGCTCCATGGTATATTCCAGAGCTAAGAGTGATGAAAGTACTGGAGATGGCTGTAGTTGGAGGAAAACCTGGTATGTCCCTACAATTGAGTATATTTTGAGGCAGTAACGGAAGCAAAGAAACAATACCTCACTTCTTTTATTCAACTCTCCCAGTGGAGCTTTTCAAAGTTTTTTGGGGCTTATTATATTCTGGCCCTGGGAACACCTTTGAACCATCTCAAGCCTGCTGTAGTCTGCTCTTTCCAGGAAAAAAAATCTATTGCATCCTCCAGGACTTGGACTAGAGTGTTATACCAGTTGAATCTGTGGAAATATCCAGAACATAGCCTAGTCTGGTTTTATTGGATGAGTTTCAGTTGTTTGAGGATGTGAACAGGGTGCTTGGTCAGTTTTCTGCAACCAACTCTGTACTGGGTCATTGCCCCTCCTCGCTTATAAAAGCCAGCAAGGAAGGGACAACTGCCTGGGCCATTAATTCATGATTAATGCCTTTTTGTGAGAGGGAGTGGTGAAGCTGCTTCTGAGGAAATCCTCCCTCGATCTGGAAAAATTGAATAACTTTTGAACTTTTGAAAAATTGAATAACTCGCAAATACTCCTTTCCTGAGCGAGGTTCTTGAGATAGTGGTTGCCAGTCAACTCCAGGCACTCTTGGATGAAACTGGTAATCAGGATCCATT